CCCCCCCCCCCAAGTAGTCTGTGTATGCCATTGATCACAATTATTCATTTAAACTTGCCATATCTATCTTGTAAGTTACATTCAGAAAAAGAAAGATAACCACTGCTTTTCTAACTATATATTTGAAATTGTAATCATGTATTTTAAAACAATACAATGATTTGCATCTGAAGCTAAAATGGATTTTGTTTAATAAATGTCATGTTACAACAGTTGCTTTTGTGTGTTTAGTGCATACACAGATCAATTCGTAAAGAATTAAGTGACACATACCAGAGGGACATCCCAAAGGGTTAGGAGGATTGTCCACAGGAGTAGATCCTCCACTTCCTGGCTGAGCATGGACTATTACTTGAGTATACTGGCTCTGAAAAGGAAATGACCGATTAATAAAATCTAATGCCATGAAATACAGACAAAGATAACAGAAAACAAATTTAAAAAAATTTGAAATGCTAAAAAAATAATGCATAGAAATTACGGGAGTATGAAGCATGCAAACTATATCACATTTTTGTTAAAACAAAAAACAAAAAAAATCTCACCTGAACATCTGGAAAGCAGAAATGGGACAATTTCGTAGGAGATGGCAAAGTCCCATACGCGCTGGCATCTGAAAAAAGGGAAACTGTTAACTTACACCTAAACACATCGCAAACTACTGTTTTAAATTCTATTTCTGAAATACTGAATTGAGTCATCCTATTATTATTCAGTCATCAAAATTACATTTTTCAAGTGTACTTGTCAAACTTAAGTAAAATGCTAGGAACATAGTTAAGAATGTAGAAAGAAAATGCTGAATGTCAATGAAAAGTATATATGCAAATAAACATTTTTACACAAACGCAACCAAGCATAAAATATATATTGAAATAACATAAGCAAGAACTGCACACAGACTGATTGAAAAACTGAATCAATTGGAAAATCTGAATCATTGGAGAATTTTCTTCAAAGGAATCCCCCTCCCCTCCTGTTATACTTGAAGAATCTTAAAATGAACGTAAGCAGCATCCACACACACAATTTTAATATTATATTAACATTATCATACATTCATAAATATAACTTTCTGTTACAAATTTTAAATAATGCATGTAGTTTTCCACACAGTACACAAAATGAGCGAGTGAGAGTTACATTAACATCGCGCTATAAAATAAATCGAGGGTTATTGGCGACGGACCTCGTAATTTTGAGCTTCAGTCAAGTGACGTTGATCAGGGGTGTCCAGCCCAAATGACCTTGCAGGTTACTTTGGAAAAACATTATAATCTCGCGGGACACACATAAAAATATGTAGCTTTATATCAGATTTGGAAACAGAAAAACATGTATTGGAGTGAAAAGTTAAAACAGAATAAATTATTATTATTGTTGTTTTCATTATTTTTCATGTATACACAGACATAGATAATATAATAATATTTATACAATATAATAATGCAATGATCAAATAATGTTTGAAATATTACAGTTGCCACTTTCTTGAAAATTACGGTGTTCCTTTTGAATTGATCTTTCGTTACTCATTGTTGAAATTTGATAGTGTTGTCATTCGCGAACGATTAAGTATACATTGCCCTTTATCTTAACCGTCCTGAATATTTTTTTTAAAACTTTAAAAAACACCTCTGATTTCCTCTTGCTTTTTGGGCACTCCAAACAGGTAAGGAGGAGGCGAAATGAAAGTGGCGCGCACAGAGAATTATGTACCATCCACAGTAAAGCATATGCATAATGCAATTCGGAATTTATCAAAAAAGTAATTTAGAAAAATCAAATATAACTGTTTAATAAAATATAAATCTATTTTAATCTAAAGAATATTTCTATTATCAAAAGGATTTATTTTAAAACAAGAACAGGAAACAGGCAAATACACTCTGTGTAGATTTATATATATATATATATATATATATATATATAAATTTCCCCTCAAATAAATCTCAAAACGAAAAAACTTTAAAACCTGATATTTAAAAAGTTTCAAAAAAGAGTCGGCGGGCCGCGTGTTGGACACTCCTGACGTAGATGACACCTGAGCAGACAGACATCCCTTCTCCTAACTACCACACCAATGGGAAAACATTGAGCCTCGGTAGATTCAACGTGCATTGGCCCCCTCTACATGGCGAGTCTTCAATGGCACCAGGACTCGAATCCGCGATTCGCCGGCCACGCGTTCTTGACCACAACCACTAAAATATCACGGCCATTAAGCAAAATGTGACTTGTGTGATGAAAGGGTACGAATCCTAAAAATTAAACAGACTGACGAAGAATTAATTTTGTTCTACTCTCAACTTTTTTATACAATTACGCTTGCATGATTACTATCATTACATGACATTAAAACATTTTAACCCACATGTTGGTAGCTTAAGGCTGTTTTCGGTCAATGTTAAAGAATAGGACCCGAATTTTGAACATTTTTTCAGATAAAAAAGAAATGAAAAATTAATATGATGTTCTGGCTTCACTATCCTTCAGAGAGTAGCATTTTTTATCATACATCTCATTTTTAACCGAGTTGGTCCATTTTTTCTGGTATGAAATGTGTTTCGCGTTTTTTCTCCTAAACTGTAATGTTAAATGGGCTATGCCTTCACGTATTAAAACGAAAAAGAAAATATTCATGAAATATTTTTAAAAACGTTATATTGTTAACAGAGGTATGAGTTAAGATATTGCAAATTTTCATGGAAATTGAGGCATTTTTCTGTCTGAAAATGTGCTTCGCGTTTAGTTCAAGCTCTCGTACTTTTACCGAAGACAGCCTTAACCAAACAATTTCGGTCATTTTAAATCAATTTCAATTCATGATCAAATTGATTAAGGAAAAAAACTGAATCTGATGCGCATTACAATGTTAAAGAGAGCTTAATTTAAATCACCTGAGTTAGGGGAATTGGGCGGTGGCGATACAGGTTCGTCTGCACTCAAGCTGCCACAGGAATTACGGTCGACAGCTGCCTGGCTCCCATAACCACTGGAAAAACTGGATCCGGAGTTCCTGTACGAGAGTTCTGGAACGACTGGAGGAGGGACTTTCTTCATAGTCCCGCCCTTTAGGGTTCCAGTCCTCTGGAGACCACCAACTGCAAGAAAATATATAATATTGTAATGCAAACAGATCAGACAAAAATTTGCAATTATCCGATAAAACCTCTTTATAATAAGTAATGTCAAAAAAAATTAAGTCAATTCCTACTTAGGTCAACACAGAAACATTTTATTTTAGTTACTTTTTATTCAATAATTACAATTAATATAAAAATATGTATATACATAAGACGGAATCACACTATTAAGGGACAAAAGAGAAAGCGATTTTCCATTTTCCTTCCTATAGGGTGTTGGACTATTATTTTTGTTTGTTACTATTTGTTCATTCATTAAATTTAATTATTCCAATAAAACAGTATAGTAAAAAGAAATTACATTCTAAGAAATTAAGCCATCCCTGATGGGGTTCGAACTCATCACCTTTGGATGAGAAGTCCAACGCGCTCTTCATTGCTCTACAGGGACACAACGAACGATTATCCTTTCTATATTTGCTGTTGGACTATTATTTTTGTTTGTTGGTATTTATTCATTTTTTAATTTAATGAATGAATTGATGTTTGGAAAAAATGTATTTGAACTTGAATGGATGAATAGAAAGTATTTTATTAACGATTGAAAATTCGAACAAGATATATATATCTATATAGGAAGAGAGTAAACTAATAGTAGGAATTGTGTGTGTGTGTGTGAAAAAAATCTGCGTGTGTGTACGTATATGATTAGAATAGACATTGAATGAACGGTTTTTAACTTTATTAGTTTTGTAGAGGAAATTTAACTCTTACCTTTTTATACATGGCAACTGATTTAATTTAAAATGGGAAATATTTTTTGCATAATTGAAAATATAATTAAAATAAACTTAATTATTATTTGTTTATTAATTATTAATAAATCAATTAATTTGTGTATATATTAATATTTTGATAATAATATAATTCTTATTTGCCAAATATTATTTTTTTAGAAGACGATTTATATTGTAATTTATTTCTTAACTAATGTAAAATGTTTTCTGGCAATAGAATAGAATTCCAGTTAGTTAATGTGCTGTAAGTAAAATGTTATTTGGAAGATATTCTGAAGTGATATTTGTCTCATATTTACTCTTCATTATACCTCTAACCGACTCACATTCCTACTAATAAATCTATAATTATCTACGTATCTACAAAGTAGAAATATGAAAATAACACAGAAGAGGATTGATAAAGACCTGTTCTGAAAATTTTGAAGTCCTATTTAGAGTCCATGACACTGATTAAATACGTTAGACAGAATTTTGTCGGAAGGGGGGAGGGAATTAATATTTAAATGAAGTATGAATTAATATTTAAATTCAGAATTTGACTTCAGACGACACTAAACATGCCATTTCGTACAGAAAAAAAAAAAATAATTAAAAAAGCATAAAATTATTCATTATAAGACTTAATAATTTGTGAATGAAACTTTAAAAAAACTTCAATTCACAGCTATTTACTAATTATTTGTCAAAACTATCATAAAAATCACATATTAAAGCCACTCGAGAGCTACTGACAATGAACCACATAATTTTGAACTGTGGTCAAGTGACTTGGACGACACCTGAGCTGGCATCTTGCTCTCCTAATTCCCACACAACGTCAATAGGAGGACTTTGAACCTCGAAATATTTAATTAGTATCAGCCCCTCAAAGCGGCGGGTCTTCAGTGACATAGCACAGAGGTAGCCAAAGTGGTGGTCCGTGAGAAAATTTTGCGGGTCCCCAGAAAAATATGGAAAATACTCATCACGTTAAGCTATGTTTTAAGATGCATTGAAACGTCATCCAATCACTTACAGTTTCTTTTGCTCGTTATTACCCAAAGAATGAAAATCCCAGGCATGGTAATATGTAGATAATAGATACGTTTGCAGAGAAAATTCAGGATAATAATTTAAGCATGGATCTAAAAGAAAGCCTCATCGACCTATCATCCAACGAAACTCTCAAATTTAAATTTCATTCGTCCTTATCAAGATCACAGTTTTGGCTTTCCATAAAAAGTGAATACCCTTTTCTTAGTGAACACTATGAAAAATCTGATTCAATTCTCCACAACTTATTTATGTGAAAAGGCCTTTTCATCTGTCTCAGCCATCAAAAAACGGTACCTATCTCAACTTGAAATAAACGCAGTTCTCCGTCTTGCAGCAAAAACATTGGATTCAAATATTCATAATCTTGTTTCAAGTAAGCAGGAACATCTATCACACAAGAAATGTATAATGCTAAAAGTTTAATATACTTAAACCATTTGTTAACTGTTTTGTTTTTGCTGTTTTTGTTTATTTTATTATGAATGATTAATAAAGCTTTCATAATTTGATTACAATTAATAGTTTTAGTTAATTAACTAGGTACATTTTATGAGTTCTTAGATCACAATTTTTTTATAAATATATTTAAAACTTAAAAAATCCTATTAGTGGTCCGTGAGATCAAGAAGTTTGGCGACCGCTGACATAGCATACCGGTCTGAGTCCGTGACAATAACCAACATACTATAGCAGCCTCAAATGTTGAACCATGGGTTAATTTGTAAATAACGAATCGCAAGGTAATTTACAAATACTGAAAAAGGAACAAGTACTGAAATATTAAATACTGAAGAAAAACAATTACTAAAATACCTAACACAAAAGAAAAAGCAATTATCACACAAGAAAAATAGTAATGTTCGACTTTTAACAAAAATTGATGCGAAAAATTGTTTAAAAAACAAAACAATTAATAATTCTAACTTTATTTTAATCTAACCTTTTTCAAGAGAAAAATCACCATATAAACAGAGCTTAAATTTTTAATACAGTAATCAAAATGGATATTTCTCTAAGAAAACTACAATAAAAGAAGTAAAATAAATATTTACAGCGATAAGCCGAAAATCTAAGCATATCTCTGGTATTAAAAAAAAAAAAAAACATTGCTGTATAGATTGATTTATATCTTACAAGAAATACTTAAGGCTAAAAATAAATACACTACCAACAGAAACTACGGGTAAATATGACGTACATAAAGATCACAACTCATTCAAATATTACCAAAAATGTATTGCACTAAAATCTTTTCTATGCACTCAACAATCCTAAAAGAGGAGAATCTATCTCGCACATAATATCCCTGAAACCTCTGTTAAACGCTTAAAAAAACCTCTCCATATTAATAACAGAACAAAAAAGCAAGACGTCCAATAAAATGGATAACTAACACTGTCATCACTGTCTCCACAGTAAAGAATAAACACTCACTTTATCAATACATGATGACTACCTACTTCCCGCTCAACGATGATCAATGATTACAGGGCCCCAACTGGGGAGTGCGATGACAGGCTTTTAGCCACGCAGGGGTCAACACGGGGACTGGTCGTGATTCCTCATCAAAATATCCGTTAGTATTTGTTTACCCGCAATTAAGATAATGAAGGGAATAATAAGAGAGACTGCCTCGTTATCTTCAAGTTAGCATTTTTAAACGTGGGGATGGATAGGGATATTTATTTTCACTTAAAAACGTTAATAATGAGATCGATTTATGGTAATGGCCGATCGGGGAAAGATTTCCGCTACCGGATTTTTAGTACCCCCGAGGAGAAATTTCGAATAGAGAATATCTGAGCTCAAGTGGAAGGTTTAGGATCAATACACTATAGATTAAACAGAATTTGTTGCTAATTGGAATTTTAAGAAAAATAACTCTTTATATGGCCATTTTTTTCTAGTAATGCTGTTATTTTATGGATTTGGATTGATTTATGAGAAAAAATTCTTCGGCTTATTATTTAAAAATAATTTGTTGTTTAAGACTATTTTCTCTTTTTGGTAGGAAGTAGGTTTCCCACATACATCTCATGTTTTGTGTTTCTTATTTACATTGTGTTACATGATATTTTAAAAAATAACTTGAAGCAGTGGCGCACACAAGGGGGGGGGGAGATCCCCGGGTCCGGACGGCTCCGAAAGCCTTTGATTTTCTTTTTCGATTGATTATAATTCTTTGTATATAGTACATAAAATTTAATTATTTGTTATTAATAATTAATTAATGTTAATTATTTATTCACCAATTAGTTTTTTACTGTTTTTTGTTCCGGAAAATCGTGAAAATCAAAAGCATATGTTAGGCCGCGTATTGGAGTTTAATACGAAAATGGTGGAATTTTTCAACCCTGGACCTCCCCCCATTGAAAAATTCCTGTGTGCGCCACTGCTTGTAAGTACTGAAATATACTGAAGAAATTGTAAATTAGATATATGTGATATTCAAAACTTTTTAATAATTTACACATATTACTCTCTCTCTCTCTCTTTTCATGAAATTTCAAAAATTAGGATCAATGTATAATGGGACATTATGCAAGCTATATAAAAGTATCTTGTTCTCATATCCTTTAGCAGAGCACAAACAGTAACGTCTGTCTATTTTTTGTCAAGTTGCCATATGGTTACCAACTCAGTCGTACGTCATCTGGAACGGTTTTTTTACTGCTCAGGAAATTTACAGGTTGTCCTTTGCACTTGCGAGTTGAAACTCCAGATATCCGTTGGCGTTGAGACGTTTGAGATAAATAATGGTAGCGTGATATTGATTAATTTAAACATTTAGTTTATTTACGTCACAGCTATTATTTACAGATTATACATTGAAGTTATTTAACTTATTAAAAGATTATTAGAGTTCAAACAATGGTTTGAGAGAGGAGGGTTCCCTTTCTTCGAAGGTTCAAAGCATCTCTCTGGTTCTCTTTCTGCTTCGGGGATGAGGGCCCGGCGCCCTTTAGCATCCCGTTACATCCTGCTGATTGGCGGCAAAAAGGTCCCTCGGGGGTCAAGGGGTTGCGGGGGAGGTCCTACGCGGACCACGCAATAACTTTCGAGATGCAGGTGCAGGATGCACGTGTGATGATTATTTCCACAAGGAGCCCGACTCACAGCTGGGAGACAAAAACGTTACAGCGTGTTAGGTGGCAAAATAGTTTCCCATGGGCATTTAAAAATTAATGAAGTTGGTGGTAAGTATATTTACCACGGGGCCTTGTAAAGGATTAAGAGGATGTTTAATGAGAGAGAGAGAATAATGTATTTCATTTTAGTAAAATCTCACTTCCATCCCTTCATTTTTTGTTTTTACAATGTCACCTTGGAGGGTCCCCCCCCCCTCGATTGATAAATACAGGTAACGGGCCGTGCCGTTTTTTGTCTTTCAATTCTCCTGGTACTTCCAGCCAAGAGTTTTATTTGAATCAAAAAGTTTTGTTTGTTTGTGTGAGTGTAAATTAACGAGTGTTTTCCGTAGTTTAGACAAATGGGGCTCTTGCGGAAGTAAAATCACTCAACCAAAAAGTTATTTTTCTTCTACCTTTTGAGTAACTATAAAAAAAAGCCGGAACTAAATTGCATTACATTAAAGAGTATTGAAGTATATTTGTGA